ATGCTTGGAGATATTGGGGGATGGCACTAGCAAAGGGGGCATGCAAGCGGGGTGACTTTTCCCTCATGCCTTCCCTACATAGCTCATCTGTGTTCCTGAGTTATATCCTTTTATAGTAAACTGGAAAAATGGAAAATGTTTTCCTGAATTCTGTGAGTCATTTCAGCAAATTTATGAAGCTGGAGGAGGGGTCATGGGAACCTCCAATTATGACCAGCTGGTCAAAACATAAGAAAGAACCTCAACCTGCATTTTGCATCTGATTTGGGGCGAGGGGTAGGGGTGAGTGGGCCAGGAAGAGTGGAGTCTTGTTGAATGGAACTCAAACTGTGGGATCTAATGCTATCTCCATAGTGTCAGAATTTAAATTATAGAACTCCTTGTTGATGCTAGAGAATTCCTTAGTGTGGTAAACCACCCAGTATCTAATGACTAGAAGCAAAATTTTGTAAGTCAAGGAGAAAAATAAAGGTATCCTTAAGAGAGACAGGATATACAACCACATAAATATAGTCAACTGATCTTTGGCAAAGAAGCAAAGGCAATAAAATAATGACGAAAAGAGGCTTTTCAATAAATGGTACAGAACAAATGAACATTCATGTAAGTAAAAAGAGAAAAACAACAAACAAAATAGTCTAGGCACCGAGCTTACACTCTTCACAAAAGTTAACTCATAATGAGTCACTGACCACTAAATATGAAACACAAAACTGTCAAACTCCTAAAAGATAATGTTATAGTACGGGGAGAGAGTGACATCCGTGAACCCCCAGATCTGCTTACTCTGAATAGATTCTGCCACCCACCACATCAAGACAAGACATAAGACCTTTAATGGAAAGAAACTTTAATACAATTAATGTGCAATACAGAAAAGATAAAGAACATAACTTTAAATCAAACACCCAACGTTACCCATTCCCTTGTGGGTAAAAGTCTACCCAAAAGGGATTGTCCCAAAGCAACGCCTCAAAGCCCGCCACAAGTCTAAAGCACCTTCTGGCGGAGACCCACAGAAAAGGGTCAGAAATGGCCAGACAAGTGTGGGAGGAAAAGAACAAAATCAAAATCAAGATACACTGCCGCAGTCAACCTCCCCAAAGGTCTCTCACCCACATCTGTTTCACCCAGTCCAGGGCCAAGAAGCAAACACAGTTTCTTCACGAGTCTCTCTGCTCCATGTACCTCCCTCAGGTCTCCTCCTGGCTCTCCATCCTGCTTCTTTCTTCTTCAGACTTATCTCCAGATTCCCCGATTCCTCTCTTCTCTGCTTAGCTCCACCCTCCTTTTGGGTGGGCAGGGGACCTGGAACCACCCCTTTTCCTGGGTCCACCCTGTTACAATTTAACAGGAGAAAATCTCAGTCACTTTGGGTCTTTTTTTTTTTTTTAAAGATTTATTCATGTATGCCTACAGAACTGGGGTACAGGCCACAGGTGCAAGGGGTGAGAGGATTTACTGGAGTGAGTGGAAAGCAGAAACAGGCAGATCGAAGAAGGACACCACTGAGGGGAGCAGCTGAGGAAACAGGAGAGGTCTGCTGAGCTATGTGGTTCACCTCTGGGCTGGGATCGAAGTCGCACTGAAGCAGCTGAAGCTAGCTTACAGTGCTGCATCCTAACCCATTGCGCCACCAGGGAGAGCCCTGGGCCTAACATTTAAGATATAAAACCAGAATCAGGAAAGCCATAGACTTTGGTCTTTATCCTAAGGT